AGTCTAACGTACGGAAAATAAAAGTGGTACTAACCTGTAACTACCGGCGTTCCCGTAATGTCATGGTCAATAAACTGACCCCACTGCATCAACATGACGGAGTGTTTGTTGGAAAGGAAACTCAGCTCAAAGTGAACATGGTTGCTGATGCTTCTTGGGTTAGGCAGGTCTGAGCCATCAGTGGCCAGAGCTCTGGGGTTTCCCATTGCTGTAAATATACAGCAGAAATATCTGTTCGTTGTTGTCATCTTGTTTAAATATGCAGTTCTGTTTCGGCTTGGCTTATCCTCGCCTTGTAAACAGATAGATCATTGATTTCGTTTCCTGACTCTACAGCATCTTGTTAAAACATTACCTATAGTTTTAATAATTTTCTGTGTAAAATCAGAAACTGTTATTGCCGGATATAACTTATATAGCTTGTGCATCTGATGAAATGAGAATGATGGCTCACGTGGTTAAGCGATGATTAAGGGCGGAACTAATTACTCCCTCATTCGCTCACTCACTCATAACGTCACTTTAATACTTGGACTTTTTAAAGTAAAATGATTCATGGTCATTACGTAGTTAGATACTGTTGTGGCACTCACCAACAATCTCAGTCAATATTACTAAATCTGTTTTGAAACTTCATCGTCATTAGATATGTAGATATCGATGTAACGATACGGCATAGGCATTACGTTAATACTGAGCGTCCTAATAAGAACAAAACAGCAACTAACCGTCAGCATACTCAGGTTCCAGCCACCTCGCAAGTTGAGCACCTGCAGCTCCCCAGCCCGAATTTTCCACGTTATTGCACGTCCCATCAGCTGTCCTATAGGTGTCACTTGAGTCGCAGGTCGCTCGCCTGAGTTAAACGTATGTATTTGTTAGGGCATTTAATTCCTCTTAAACACGTAAAAGCACTCGAACTTGTCATAACACATGAAACGAAAACGTCCAAGTAAGACGAGAAATTTGTGATGTTATAACAGCCGAGGCATTTAATGCCCCAACATTAAAAAATTACCTTTTACACTGTTGGATATAATATTTTGAAAATGTTTACAGGTGGTTAAGCTCCGATAGGGGCATAAACGTGCACTTTTGCACAAAATAATTATATAAGGGTATAAGAAACATACTTTCTTTTAATGATGTTTATATTTACATGCCCTCATTCTACTTGTATTTCAGTAGCAGACATACCTGCTTCTGTAGACAGGTTCCATGTATCTTTTGCTCTTAGATGATCGTGAAATAAAGGCACATGGCGTCCTGCTTCCTCCGCACTCTGTCACGAAGACGGAGATGATGTAAATGATAATATAAAAATACCTGAATATATAACAACGTTAAAACCACGATGTTGTGTCATCTAACCTCCAAATATATCCACCCTCCATACAGATGTGACTACGTGTTAATCTACTCACAGAGTTATATTCTTAAACCAGCAGTATAGTTTCCATTCCAAATATTTATTTTGAAATACAGTAATAATCCTAAAAAATGGGATTGTACGTGTCGTCTTGAATCTTCAAATACATGACATGGGTATCATTTACTATCTTCGCAAACCGTTATACACTTATATATCTTTGACTCCAAACATATATTATTTGATATAAAAAGTAAAATTTTCTGGGTTATGTATGAAGCATTTTCATAAATAATAAGCTCTGAAGCAAATGTTCTGTAAGAGTCAAGAGTGTGAGTAGTAAATACATACCTGCATGTACAACGCAGAGGGCAATCAGTATAGCTTGGATTACTGGTGACTGCATACTGTCAGCTTCGTACAGAACACAACCAGTGTGATGGCGAACTCCTCCGAGGGCTGTATATATATATACTTCCAATGGCATAGATATAAAGTTGATAAAACATGATTGCGTTTATTGGACATTGTGGCTTGTATTGCTAACAACAAGAAACAAGGACTGATCCCAGCGGAGGGCCACAGTTGGGTGGGTTGATCGTAATGATGACTCGATCTAATCAAGGCCCCTGAGTGGTAAATGGACATTTACTTCTCGCATCTCTACATCTTGCATTGGTATTTGTGATACGATCGCGATAGAGAAACTTATTGTAGGCTTATCAACATTTTACCCGTCTAATTATCAATTGCAAACGTACCAGAATGAGACGTCATGTCATTTTGTCGATTAAGGCATGAAAATATATGGTAATAGACTCGGGTTATTAAGTTTTCAGAGGTTCTGTGTTAGCGAAATAATTTGTATTTACTATGGTACTAACATGCAACCTTACTGATTACAGTAACCTACGGTTATAACGAACTCAAAGGGACTATTAATTTTAGTTCGTTATAACCGTAGTTCGTTGTAAGCATATATACAGCATAACTACAGCAGATAGTCGGGACCAAAAAAGTAAGTTCGTTATATCCGTGAGTTCGTTATAAGCGTGTTCGTTATAACCGTGGTTTACTGTATAATACAAGAACATCGTGGGGCGTACATACATGACATTATACATGTGAAGAGATTTCAGGAAACCTGTTTCTCTTAGCTGGTCTACCCACGTTCGCCGGTATAAATGTTTTGTAAACGTCTTTGACACGTGGTTTTGGTATGGAAGCAAAACCTGTCGAAACTAAATTCTGTATAGGTCGGGTGGGTACGAGGTTTTGTGCGGTAAATATCTAAACTATGTGTAAAATCGATTCTGTGATAGGGTAAATATAAAACATCAATGCAAGAGAATATCCAGTCCTGATAAACGGGGCAAAATATCTGGGAACGTTTTATGATTGGGCCACTGGAAATCAGTGGTGACACTATGTAAAAAGAGGCAGTGGAAGCGTCACGTTTTGTCCATTGGCTTGAAGAAAGCTTTTTCAAGTGTTGTTGATATGTGTTGTGTGTCTTCCATTTAATGTTTCCAGTTGAGTAATCATCATCGACTGGTTTCTGTTCTGGTGATATAGATAATTGGATGCATAAACCTTTGATTTCATTAAATACTTGTAAGACGCATCGGTACACAAAACATATTCATATTCAAGCAAGAATTAACAGAAGTGTTATTTGCACATTCACGAGGTGTAGGAGAGATGCAGCATTATTTTTAACCCGAAGTATCTTTTTCCTTATGCAACACCCACCCTGGCAACTATTTAATTTTGGGTACAATGTGTGAAGCCCATGTCTGGTGTCCCCCGTCGTTATATTGCTGGAATATTGCTAAAAGCGGCGGAAAAGCATACTCTCTCACTATCATATTGGAAGGTTTGCAGTTTCAAATATTTGATTTAGATTGGATAATTTCTCTTTCGGCAGTCATATTGATTCCAAAAATGTCTAATTTTTATATATTAATACATGAATGTATGCTTAAAAAAACACTTTAAAAAACTGTCATGTTTGTGTAAAATGTTGTGAGTATATGTAACGACATACTATAGGTTTTATCTTAATTCAGATCGACAATCATTCAAAACATTGAAACTTTGTCGCGACGCTATCATCAAACAGTTTATTTGGCCATGTAGAATTGAGATATACATTCTGTGTTTTCTCTGACTTGACTTTGCATGTGTTTGTGAAGAGTTCCACATGTTGGGCAGGACACTTTTTTGCGAACACCTGATATCATCACTAGGTGATAGTGAATCATAAACACATGCTTATAATATAGTCGGAATCGTTAAATGATTTCTTTGGATTATGGAAAGAGTTATATATAAACTTCGTTTTTAAAACGAGTAGAAGTTCATTGTCAGACAAGTTGTGTCAACTAAGTGTATTTTTCTGGTTGATGCATGTCATCGATCCCGATTGCGTGGATCGATGCTCATGATGTCAATCACTGTATTGTCTGGTCCAGATTCGATTATTTATAGACCGCCGTCATATAGCTGGAATATTGCTGAGTCAAACAAACAAACAAAACAAATTATGGATGTGGGTTCCAATACCTGAATGCGGAGTTAAACAACAAACTAACCTATTTCTCGACAACTGTTGCTTGATAAATTGGTGTATCGTACGATCGCCTTGTCAACACTTGTACATTCATCAATGTGAATGAATATTGTTGAAATGGTTACACTCTAGCCTTCAGTATCAACTAACACTAGTCTGCGGTATCATAAATTTGTAGTCTTCAGCAACATCTTACACTAGTCTTCAGTATCATCTAACACAAGTCTTCAGTGAACATCTAACACTAGTCTTCGGCATCATAATTATATTTGTAGCCTCTATTATCATCTGACACTAGCATTCAGTATCATCTAACTTGAGCATTCAGTATCATCTAACACTAGTCTTCAGTATCTTCTAACTCTAGCCTTTATTATCATCTAACACTAGTCTTCGGTATCATATATTTGTAGCATTCAGTATCATCTAACACTATCCTTCAGTATCATCTACCTCTTGCCTTCAGTATCATCTAACACTAGACTGCAGTAACATCTGACACTAGTCTTCGGCATCATATATTTGTAGCATACAGTATCATCTAACACTAGACTGCAGTAACATCTGACACTAACCTTCAGTATCATCTACCTCTTGCCTTCAGTATCATCTAACACTAGACTGCAGTAACATCTGACACTAGTCTTCGGCATCATATATTTGTAGCATTCAGTATCATCTAACACTAGACTGCAGTATCATCTAACACTAGACTGCAGTATCATCTAACACTAGACTGCAGTAACATCTGACGCTAGTCTTCAGTGCCATCTAACACTAGACTGCAGTAACATCTGACACTAGTCTGCGGCATCATCTAACACTAGACTGCAGTAACATCTGACACTAGTCTGCGGCATCATCTAACACTAGACTGCAGTAACATCTGACACTAGTCTTCGGCATCATCTAACACTAGACTGCAGTAACATCTGACACTAGTCTTCGGCATCATCTAACACTAGACTGCAGTAACATATGACACTAGTCTTCGGCATCATATATTTGTAGCCTTCAGTATAGCCCATTTACAAAGAACACGAGAGAAGAATTATACAGTTTAATCCCTTTGGTCGAAGAAGCACATATTTTAGAAAGAAATGAAAAAGCGCATATTATATAGTACACAAAAAGTCAATGGAAGTAACATTTCATGCAGTGAAGTATAAATTAAAGAAACCAAAACAAGGTACACGCCATCCGTGAGATACCAACTTGTCCGTGTAACCTTCATCTACAGTATATAGACGCAGCCGTATGCATCTTGTCAGTCGAACGCCTGCAGTCGTGTTCTTCTGTGTCAAACTAAAACGACATTTGTCATTTGCTCAAGATGTAGATTGGGATGTGAAATAAAAGCGGCAAATCCCAATCCAAGATAAAAGCCGAAAAGAGTGTACGAGTCCGAGTATATCATGTAAATGGATGAATCACTGTCAAATTGTGATGACACCATATGTTCGCGAATTGTGAGCATATCCTGCCATAACGGTGGCAAAAGTCACCAACACATGCAAATCCAAGTCAATTATTCACATAAAAAAAACACACGGGAAGTTCGAAGACGCCTGACGTGACCCCCTTTGGAGGTGTTCTCGGTTCTTCAAGCAGAGAGGTGTCGTGTGAAATCAAAAGATCAGATTTTAATTAGGTTACAGTTGTTATTAAATAAGTGAGTGAATGATTATTGTTTACTCCAGCAATATATCCAGCAATAGTCACGCTGCGTCACAGCGACCTGGTAATTACATGGATCTGTAAAGCTAGTGGTTGATAGCATGACCAACGATCCATGCAGTCGTGGTGAGACATTTTAACCCCACAATCCCCACTGTCGGCTCTTACGTCGTGTGTCGTTATTCCACTCGAGAATCCCCAGGGATTTATTTATAAATGCCAGGGTAGTAGCTATGAAGCTGTCACAGACTCTTGTCAAGCGAGAAGGTTCGTGATGTATTTCGACGAGGCATTTTGAAAGCTCGATGTAACATTGACACAAATCTATCCATGTCTAGCAGAATGAGAGATCCAAACACTAGCACTAGAATTCCGATTCCCGATGCCCCAAGCGTCCCGGCAGAAGGTCGGTCATCTCGTGCTGAAGTCTTGGCTCGTCGGTAGGAAGATAGCATTTTTCTGTTCAGTAGTAATGTCTGCATCAACTGCTGCCACTCGATGCTGTTTGGTCCTGCGAGGTTCAGGCAGATTGAACTACACGTGGTGTTGCTAGGCCCTGGACGTGACCCTAGACAGGACAGATTCAGTGCGTTACAATATGACTGACAATGTTGTAAAATGCACGTGAAGGATAAGTGTCTTTATTTTCAAACATCAAAATTTAAAAAAAAGTATTATTCGGCTTTGCGAAATTGATACTATATGAAATACATATTTGTCTGATCAATATTATTCTTGAATAGCTTCGAGTTAGTGCTTCATTATGAGTGAGTGAGTATGGTTTTACGCCGCTTTTAGCAATATTCCAGCAATATCACGACGGGGGACACCAGAAATGAGCTTCACACATTGTACCCATGTCGGGAATCGAACCCGGGTCTTCGGCGTGACGAGCGAACGCTTTAACCACTAGGCTACCCGACCGCCCCAAGTGCTTCAGAAAATTACTGAAACAATTTCTATTGTGCAATGTCGATAAACATTATGCCTTTTCATATTTGATAATGTTTATCAGATATCACAATTAAGTATTTATAGCTGGGCATGTGAGTGTTAATTGTTAACGCCGTACGCAGCAATATTGCAGCTATGTGGCTGCAAATCATTGAATCTGAACCAGACAATCCAGTGATTGACATCATGAGCATCGATCCACGCAACTAGGATACGATGACATGTATCTACCAAGTCAGCTCGCCTGACAACCCGATCCCGTTAGTCGCCTCTTGCGACAAGCATAGTTTGCTTAAGACCTATTCTACCCCGGATCTTACGGGTGGGCATAGTCGAGGGTGATCTGGGTTTAACACCATTTGAATAGTACTCCAGTTAAGGTACTGTCAGCTTAATATGAGAGAAAAGCCGGAAGTGATGCGGTTCTCAGACGCTTACCACTTATGTGAAACACACAAGCATATTTATTTAACTGACAAACCTATAAACATAATAAGGACGAATCGGGATTCGAACTCTGCACAACGAACTGGGCCATCCATGCCCTACTCAGACAGACAAAGCGCACACTAATTCTGCATATTGACTTACCACTGATGTTGCAAATAGCGGCTTCATGTGGGGACGTGGATGTCACCTCGGTCACAGTTGTGGTAGCTGGAATAGAGGTCGTTGTAGCAGCTGGTGTTGATATCGTAGCTTGTGCAGAATTTGCAGTGGTTGTTGTCGCTGTAGAAGTACTTGAAGTAGTGGACGGTGCTGGAGTAGAAGTTGTTGCAGCTGATGTAGTCGTTGCAGTTGTTGCAGTGGTCGTTGATGTTGTTTCGGTAGTCGTTGCAGCTGCTGTAGAAGTACTTGAAGTAGTGGACGCTGATGGAGTAGAAGTTGTTGCAACTGATGGAGTCGTTGCAGTTGTTGCAGTGGTCGTTGCTGTTGTTTCGGTAGTCGTTGCAGCTGCTGTAGAAGTTATAGAAGTTGATGTGGCGAGAGCAGCGGGCGTGGTTGTAGTTGATTCAGCAGTCATTGCGGCTGTTGTGGTTTTCGTTGTCGTTGTTGGAGCTGTTGTGGAAGCTGATGCAGCGGTTGTGGACGTTATGGAAGTTACTGTGGTAGTTTTCGTAGCCGTTGTGGTTGTAGTCGTTGCAGCAGCTGTGGTAGTTGCAGTAGTGGTAGTTGAAGTAGTAGTAATAGGCGTTGTAGTCGTTGTAGAAGTAGATGTACTAGTTGTGGTTGTGCAATCAACGTTTTCAGCAACCTTGGCCTTGTTTTCAGCAACTGTTGGCGGGTGTTCGTTGTAAGTACCTGCAAAAGGGACACTTATGTTTATAACGACGGTCTTGTGGATATGTAAAGGTTTCGTATTTGGGTATGATTTGGTGTCTGAGAGACAGACTAAAGCATTTCTGGTTAGGTATATCATTGAGAGAGTAAGTAATACCGCCATTAACTGCTTTCAGTAACATCATGGATGTCAGCTTCATGTGGGTGGAACTCCCAAAAGTATCACGATTCAAGTCTTAGATGTTTATCACTTTTATGAAACCCAATTGCGTGGGTATGGATCAAGTTACGAATCTCGGAGTTATCTTTTGTTATCAATAGTTGATGATGCATTTTATGAAGAAATGTGCGTTGTCAAAAATGTTAGGTTGACAGAGTTTTGCATAATTCAAGTGAAGGGCTTTGGCAGTGTTTGGAATGCACAACCTTGTTCAGTTGGGAAGCGAAAGGTATTTATTTTGCTCATGTGGTGCGAGTTTTGTCTGGTGAAATGTGGTGACGTTCCTTTTTGACGTCAAAGTCGAATCGTGACGTTACTATGCTGTGACGTTACATCTATTGGACGTTTTGGCTTTTCACTCACTAACAAATCAGTTCGGTATTCTGGCTATCATGTCATTGCATTGATAAAATGAAGTGACAGAAATTACGTTTTTAAGCAAAATGTTGTCAAAAATTGAATAACTTCTCTTAGATTTGAATATTTACACGTCACACTAACGCTTATGGTAAGTCTACAATTGGTGATAAGAAAAGCAATTTCGCCAGTTGGAATAAAAATTGGCTAATTAAACTATTCATAACATATAATTAGTCACTAATCAGCTGACCCGTGAAGATCCGGGATGGAATAGGTCTTCAGCAACCCATGATTGTCGTAAAAGGTGACTATGCTTGTCGTAAGAGGCGACTAACGGGATCGGGTGGTCAGGCTCACTGACTTGGTTGATGCATTTCATCGTATTCCAATTGCATGGATCGATGCTCATGATGTCAATCACTGGATTGTCTGGTCCAGACTCGATTATTTACAGACTGCCCTCATAAAGCTGGAATATTGCTGGTGCGGCGTTAAACAAAAAACATCATTATGACATCAGCTCATCGAATACAGTTTGATCTCTCTATCACGACCTCAGTCACATCCTCAGAAAGAAAAGTGTGTATTTAAATGCTACCGGCAGCATCCTTTTTGATCAGCTTGTCTCGAACTTCTGATAACTACATGTAGATCTATTTTTAATGGTCCACTACGTCTGGTGTTTTTCCTCATAGATGAACATGTTTGATTTTGAATAACAAAACTAACATACCGGAGGACCCTATCACTGTGTGAGTGGAAATGAGGAATATATGCGTTAACTGACCATCGTAGCATCGTTTTACAAGAGAGTTGTAGCCGTTTTCGTCGGTCATCGTGGGCACAGTGGTGATGTAAATGCTGTCCGCGGTGTAGATGTTACATGTCTTGCCGCTGTGTGATATTGCGACACACTCGTCCGTTCCTGTTGCTGCCTCCAAACACATCGCCTTACAAGTCTTTAAATCTGTTTCTGATGATGTCAGCAGGTTGTGCAGAGATATCGTCTTGTCTACGAACTCCTCGTACCAGCATTGGTCTGAAACAGTAAACAGTCGGAATTGTGCTGATACACTGCAACATCAGTATTGTGCTGATACACTGATTTATCAGTATTGTGCTGATACACTGAAATATCAGTATTGTGCTGAAACATTGAAACATCATTATCGTGCTAATACGCTGAAACACCAGTGTTGTTCTGAAACATTGAAACATCAATATTGAGCTGATACACCGAAACATCAATATTGTGCTGATACACTGAAACATCAGTATTGTGCTGAAACGTTGAAACATCAGTATCGCGTTTTTACCCTGAAACACCAGTGTTGTTCTGAAACATTGAAACATTAGTATTGTGCTGATACACTGAAACGTCAATATTGTGCTGATACACCGAAACATCAATATTTTGCTGATACAATGAAACATCAGTATTGTGCTGATACACTGAAACATCAATATTGTGCTGATACACTGAAACATCAATATTGTGCTGATACACCGAAACATCAATATTGTGCTGATACACCGAAACATCAATATTGTGCTAATACACTGAAACATCAGTATTGTGCTGATACACTGAAACATCAGTATTGTGCTGATACACTGAAACATCAATATTGTGCTGATACACTGAAACATCAATATTGTTTTGATACACTGGAACATCAATATTGTGCTGATACACTGAAACATCAGCATTGTGCTGAAACATTGAAACATCAGTATTGTGCTGATACACCGAAACATCAATATTGTGCTGATACACTGAAACATCAGTAATGTGCTGAAACATTGAAACATCAGTATTGTGCTGATACACCGAAACATCAATATTGTGCTGTTACACCGAAACATCAGTATTGTGCTGATACACCGAAATATCAGAATTGTGCTGAAACATTGAAACATCAGTATTGTGCTGATACGCTGAAACACCAGTGTTGTTCTGAAACACTGAAACATCAGTATTGTGCTGATACACCGAAACATCAGTATTGTGCTGATACACTGAAACATCAGTATTGTGCTGAAACATTGAAACATCAGAATTGTGCTGATACATTGAAACATCAGTATTGTGCTGATACACTGAAACATCAGTGTTGTTCTGAAACATTGAAACATCAGTATTGTGCTGATACGCTGACACATCAGTGCTGTTCTGAAACATTGAAACATCAGTATTGTGCTCATACACTGAACACATCAGTATTGTGCTGATACACCGAAACATCAGTATTGTGCTGAAACATTGAAACATCAGTATTATGATGATACGCTGACACATCAGTGCTGTTCTGAAACATTGAAACATCATTATTGTGCTGATACACTGAACACATCAGTATTGTGCTGATACACCGAAACATCAGTATTGTGCTGAAACATTGAAACATCAGTATTGTGCTGATGCGCTGAAACATCAGCGTTGTTCTGAAACATTGAAACATCAGTATTGTGCTGATACACTGAAACATCAGTGTTGTGCTGAAACATTGAAACATCAGTATTGTGCTGATACGCTGACACATCAGCGCTGTTCTGAAACATTGAAACATCAGTATTGTGCTGATACATTGAAACATCAGTATTGTGCTGATACACCGAAACAAAAGTATTGTGCTGAAACATTGAAACATCAGTATTGTGCTGATACATTGAAACATCAGTAGTGTGTTGATACAGTGAAACATCAGTATTGTGCTGATAAACTGAAATATCAGTATTGTGCTGATACACTGAAACATCTGTATTGTGCTGATACACTGAAACATCTGTATTGTGCTGATACGCCGACGCATCAGTATTGTGCTGATACACTGAAACATCAGTATTGTGCTGATACGCTGAAACCTCAGTGTTGTTCTGAAACACTGAAACATCAGTATTGTGCTGATACGCTGAAACCTCAGTGTTGTTCTGAAACATTGAAACATCAGTATTGTGCTGATACGCTGACACATCAGTGCTGTTCTGAAACATTGAAACATCAGTATTGTGCTGATACATTGAAACATCAGTATTGTGCTGATACACCGAAACAAAAGTATTGTGCTGAAACATTGAAACATCAGTATTGTGCTGATATACTGAAACATCAGTATTGTGCTGATACACTGAAACATCAGTATTGTGCTGATACGCCGAAACATCAGTATTGTGCTGATACATTGAAACATCAGTATTGTGCTGATACACTGAAACATCAGTATTGTGCTTATACACCGAAACATCAGTATTGGTGACTCGGGTTAAACCAGTTTTACCTCATCCGTAATTAATGCAATAAACTTATGTAAAATCTTGAGAGTTTTGAAATTAGAATTGCTGTCTTTCTTAAAATTTTGGGAGGAAAGTCAAAATTACCTTCTAAAATGTGCAATCTTTATTGTGAATTATCCATGGCTCCATGTGTTTTTGATGAATATATATAAAAGTATAGAAATATAGTCCCACATTCAGGAATAACAAAACTTAAGTGCTTCATGGTTTGATATTTCATTTTTCATAGGACCTAAGGAGGCAAGAGGAGAGAAGAACTGCAACAGTCAGACTCTAAAGAACTCGAACAAACATGTCCAGGAGAAGGCGGCTTTTTCAAATTATTACCGCCAGATTCAAACATTAGTTCCCTGAGAACCAAGTTTGAAAAATGCGGGTGAGAAATGAAACCCGGAGACATGAAATTTGTTGAACGAGCGGAAAATAAACTGGAGAGCGAGTCTGCACGTTTGCTGCGTCATTCCTTCTCGGCCTTCGGTCTCAAAATGTAGTTTCGACTATGAGCATGCATAAATTTCGCTAAATGTCCTGTGCATGACGATACACGTAAGCAGAAAAGGAATTCCCGCGTATATCATATTGGGATTCCCCGACATTCCGTTGCAATAAAAGTAGTCCGCTTCAGTGGGCGTGGGTAAATGTTTCACGTTCATTGGGAAATGAATGCAATAACACGTGACCAATGCATCTAATCCGAATGCAGGAATTGCAATGAACATAAGGAAAATTTAATTATAATTTATCATTATAATTTGACATTTTCAGATGTCTCCATAAGTCAACCGGATGTTTTTTTGTTCAATCCACAAAGATGTGTAGCTGTAATTGTGGCTTCTGTCTCAGACTGCACAACTTCTGCATCGACAAGGTTGCAGAGGAAACTGACACAGACGTTGATCATGTTAACATGGAAAACTATCCCGTAGCTGGGCAGTGTCAGGGTGGGTGTACGGCACGGAGGAAGCTGATTACTAAAAATATTTACATAGGTTGTAAGTAAACAACACAATAATACAAATATATATTTATTTCAATAACTGCTAAACCGCTGGGCAGTTCATGAATATATATGTATTGGCAGAAAATAACAAAAATAACAACCAAGTTTGTATTTAAAGTTATGCAGTGCTATAGGTGATTACATCAAGACAGATAACGATTTAAATGTCTCAATGCACAATGTGTATTAAGGTGACTTAACATTTTACTTTTAAACACCAGTCAGACATATCAGCTTGGGTCTTGGTACAGTTAAGAGGAATACATCAATTTGTTCAAATGGGGACGAAGTATTAGGAGATATATTTCCTTGTTTCTTTAACAGATGTTGCAACAGTTCAAATTTGGATTTCTCTAGGTCAAACCTTTCTCTCACTTCAGCCAAGTGCTCCTCTGATATGCAGAGCATCCTTTATTGCACATGTATCAGTTCTTTGAGGGCATCTGCTTTGGTTGTCTCCACTTCAATTATTGAGGCAATGTGTTTTGGTGGCTGCTGTTTGTTTTCTGTAAAAAAATCAACTTATCATGTTTATTACATCATCATGATCAGTAGTTGTTAGTTATTTGAAACCTAGTATTAATCAGTGATGAAAATCAAACATTTCATTTAGATGAAAAATATTATACTGGACATTAGTAGTAAAAACCCAATATATATATGACTCAATAAAACTTTGTACTAAAACCAGTGAGAAGTATCATTCCATCATGAAATGAATATTAAAAGATAATAGCGTGCACAAACTATATATTAATGTCATACCAAATCTTTGTCTGGATCTGATCATCTTGATATCCTTTGCTGTAACAATCAAGAGATGTAAATGTGTTTTAGGTTAAATTATCATAAATTTAGCATTGCAAAAGTAAGGATTTAATTATCAATTTATGGTCAGCTTGCTGTGCTATTTTGAGTCATCAGATGATTGGATATTAAGTATGATTCTTTATTATTGTTGATGTTGGAAGCCTCATCACTGCAAATGTTCCCAGACATTAATATAGGACCTGCAAGTTTGATGAAATTAGGTTCCATCGATAACCATGGTAATTTAATATATCTGAGATTTACATTATAATTGATTGACGTCATAAATAAATGCGCTGGGGATGTTTTGTTTAACAAGTATTAAACAAGTATACCAGGTGTTTTATTGGTCTGTCCCTCGTTATTTGCGATGATTGAATCGAACAAATCCACTGTGGCAAGGCCACCTTCATTCAACATGTTCAGTGTAGACAAAGCTGAAATGTTTTGTTTTATTATGAATTAATCTTCTGTTCATGTCAATCAAAGCTAATACTAGTGTTACTTTCAATAATCATTGTTGGAAATACACACAGTTCACTGAAAACATTCAATCATCATAATTGTTGTTTTGTATTTAGAATATAAGAAAAACACTCACTTTCAACAGCCTCAGGCACAAATCCACCAGCTCTTCATTCCATTTGACTATGTGTAATCAGTGATACAACCTATAAATAGAAATATTCAAGCTATATACACTGGGGAGAAGAATTATGTTAATAAATGTGAGGAAGAGAATCAATGGATGTCAACTCCTTATTATGAGGGAACACAACGTTTTGGAGTATATGCTTCACCTGATGAATGTTAGGCCTATAACCTAGCAACGCTCGAGATAAAATGAAAATAATTTCATTTCTGACACCACTGGATGTTATGTAATGCTTTCAAATAATATCAATGATAGATAGATAGATAAATGTGATGCCATTGACAAAGTAACGATGCTACGTAGGCAAGCCTTAAATATATGTCGAACTTACTGCGGCTATTGCATCCCACTCCCTCATTTTGGATTGATTGGTGATGCTTGAAGAAAATGAGCCGAATACAACACGGCTGCTACACATGACTTCATCGACCAAGAGTGTCACCTCACTTGATTGCCTCCACCGTTTCTGTACACTGATAGACGGCTGCGTCATGTTGAAGTATCAATGTCAGCCGTCTGCAGATGCGAGCAGGAGAGAAAACTCTCAAGTCTCAACCGTAACTATGGACATAATTGAGTCTCCGGCACTGACGATTTCAACCTCAGTTAAGGTTGCCGCTAAGTATTCTGTCGACTTTAAGATTGTTGAAAGGCAGTTTTGTGCTACGGGCGTAACATTTTGTTTAGGTTACCTTAGTGACTAAGTTTTGTGCAAAGGCACCCAGGATGCCGTTGTGATGTGAAACATTGAAACGCCAAAATTCGGCTGAGCGATAGAATTGGGCTGAAACACTGAAACATCAGAACGGGCAGAAACACTGAAACTTCAGGATCAGACTGAAACATTGAACATCAGAATGGGCTGAAACGATGAAACCTCAAGATCAGACTCTAACACCGAAAAATCAGAATGGGCTGAAACACTGAAACTTCAGGATCAGGCTGAAACACAGAAACATCAGAATGGGCTGAAACACTGAAACTTCATGATCAGGCTGAAACATTGAAACATCAGAATTGGGCTGAAACATTGAAATCTCGGGATCAGGCTGAAACAATGAGAACGTAAATTTCAGCATTGATGCCTAATGATTTGAAAGTTCAGGAGGAGATGATGAGATTGTATGTCACAATATGTATTCGTAGCCATTTGCCCACACATGGTCTCAGAAAACGCATGTCTGCAGAAGAATCTTATACAAACACTATTATGCAGAGAATTCAGATGGGGTTTTATTTCTGCAGATGGCAGAACTATATTTTGTCTGTATAAATAGCTGTCAGATGAATTTTGGTGTTGTCATGTCATAACGTTTGAGGTACAATCGGGCATGCTCTTTCTTCGAAGATATTTTAAATAGTCGTCATACGACTCTTGTTAAAAGTTTCAAAAGCTTTCGAACTGTTATGGAAGACAAGAGGAGAATATTTCAAAATTTGAGGCAACAGTGACAACAATTATGTCGCATGCAATTTCCTGTTTCGATTTGTGCCATAAATGGTCCCGTGATTTTTAAGTCGAACACATGCCTTTGCGTGTGTTTGTGTCGGTGCCATTGGGGTGACAGGATACGCTCATTATTCCGTGAACACCAGGTATCGTGACTATTTGATAGTGGTTTATAAACACATTCTTATGATACAGTCAGTAACTTACAGGCGGTATTTGAAAAGCGAACATTGTATCTGAACAAACCTGTGTTTTCCTGGCAAATAACAGCTAGAGTCGAATCGCAAGGTCTTGTCTTGAAAACCCCATCCTTCGTGGTTCGGACACAGTTCTCCTTTCCTTTTCCATCCGGTTCAATGTTGGTTAACCAAGGGGCATATTTCCCGAGAGGGCTGCAATCGTACTGCCAGTAGTGTACAAAATCAGGGTCTGTGGGTTCCTTGTCATACAAACCCAACCACATATCTGTAGTTCTAAGAGAAAGAATAAAAGGTATGAAAATCATTTATAATATTGCTTCTATTGATGGCTTGAGGTGTGAATTCAGGAAAGCATAAATGTTCAAATTTAGTGAGTGAGTGAGTGAGTTAAAGCTTTACGTCACATCGGCAATATTTCAGCCATATCGTGACTCAAATATAGACCTAAAGTGAGTGAGTGAGTGAGTTGGGTTTAACGCCGCTTTTAACAGTATTCCAGTTATATCACGGCGTGTCAGCTTAATGTGGGAGGGAAGACCGAAGTGGTGCAGGTCTTAGCCTTTTACCACTTCGGTAAAACCCACGAGCACGGGTATGGTGCTGACAAACCTAGAAACATAATCGGGGCGAACCGGGATTCCGTAATGTGCACGAACGTACATTGCTGGTTTCACAAAAGCTACTTGCAGTGGGTGCATGTAGATATGAAGATTGAGCGAGTGAGTAAGGCTTTACGCCGCGGGTAATATTCCGGTACGGCAGGGTACACCAGATATTGGCTTCGCACATCGCACGAATGTGGGGATTCGATTCCCGGACTTTCGGCGTGACGAACGAACGCGTTAACGACTAGGCTACCCCACCGCCCCATATTTATGAAGAAGCCAAATTTGATATTACTCTGGACGCTATGCAGGAAAAGGTGCTTTCAGCTTTGTGGTATCCTGTCCATATTTCTTCAATTGTTAAGTTTGATAATATTAAGCGGGTGTATGTGGGTTGGATAGTAGAATTAAAAGGTCACCTTTCTACACCGAACTGCGCAATGTTCTTGGCGTGAAAGGATGGGTCACCTCGATGTCATTGGTTTGATTATGGAACTCTTTTTGCAATGACGAGAAATGCTATTTGTCCCTGTCTTAGAAACTACCCTTATCTGTCCAAGTATTGAAAGACAACAATTTTCATCCCATTCTGTACATTGATGTAACAAAGACCAAGTATGAAAACACTTACAAGCGCCCGTCATTGATCCAAGGCTCTAATACCTTCCTGAAGACTTTCATCTCAGCCTCCGACGCAATCTTGAGCATCCGCTTGTTGGTGTTCACACAAACATCTTGTGCTTCATTCCAACTGCCAGGAGTTTTGAACAGTGTGTATTTTCTACCTGCCGTTGTCACACCCATCAAAAGCCCTAAAATATCATGAAATGATATATGTAATAAAAATAACAATAGCTACAAGTTCCAGCATACAACTAACGTAATTAATGCGACAACTCGATTCAGTCAGGAAAAAACTCATTTTACGAAACAGAGCAAAGTTTACAAAAGGTATTGCTCCAGATATATGTAAATAATCGAGTCTGGACCAGACAATCCAGCAATTGATATCATAAACATCGATCCACGAGTTGGGATCGATGACATGCATCAACCAAGTCAGCGAACCTGACCACCCGATCCCGTTTGTCGCCTTTTACGTCATTTCAGCCCCGGATATTCACGGGTCAGTTTTATTTTTCACCCATTTGTAAAACATTACAGTGTACATACTTCTTAATTAGACAGTGGGTTATCTCCCAAAACCCCTACATCCCATTTCCCCTACAACCCAGTTCCCCTACAATTAGTTAAAACAACACGTGGCATTTACCTGTCTGGCATTATGAACTGACCTAAAGGAGAGATTAAGGTCTGGAGTAGAGGTAGTAGAAATGAAAGGGGTAGAGCTTTAGGGGATTAGGGGACTTAAAGGAAAGTTTAAAAAAAAAAGAATTAATGTAAGTGTAATGAAAGATGCCTGTATGATGAGAAGACAATTTTTAGAAATTACAAAAATAACAATAGGAAGAAACAATTATTACACAGAAACTGAGATGAGACGATTTACAGTTGAGATGACTAGGTTTAGTATATAGATACTTGAAACTGACTAACATGTGAAGGCAAACCATAAAAGGCAAACCTATCAAATTCGAAAAATCTGCAATATTTCTTGGAGTTATCCTTGATCAACACCTCACTTGGCGCAAGCATATCGAATATGTGGAAAACAGATGTCAAAAAGACCTGAACGTATTACGGGCAATTTCAGGCACATCTTGGGGCACATCGAGGGACACTCAGCTGGACCTCTACAAAGCTCTTATCAGATCAAAAATTGACTATGGTTGTGAGGCTTTTCACTCAGCATCAAATACTGTCTTGAGGCGACTAGACAGAATACAATACAAAGCCCTAATACTGGCCACAGGCGCAGCGACAGGCACCTCACTAGAAGCACTACAAGTAGAAACGGGAGAACTCCCATTGAAACTAAGACGAGAGCAGGCAATATTATCGTTCTGGGGACGAACATCAAACCCTTTGGTTAAAAAGATATGGCAAGACAAAAACGCTCGAGATGAGGCCCTAGCTCGAAAAAATCCCTCACTAAAGCCATCTGGGATATTAGTACGTGAACTCATTCGAAGTCACAATTGCGATGACATTCAGCCTCCAGAAAGTCACTACAAAGGGTTACACCCTCCCTGGACTTTACAAACTCCCAAAGTTGACACTGCTTTAACATCAGAAGTCACTAAAAGAGAAAACCCAACCCTACTACGTTCAGTAGCTATCACTAAAATTCAAACTACCTGGGACAGCTGGGCCCATATATACACTGATGGATCCAAGAATCCTATCAACAACAGTGCTGGTTACGGGATCCATATCCACAGCTCCAAACCCCAAGCACATTCAGTTCGCTTGCCCGATGGTCAGTCAGTATTCACGGCTGAATTGGAGGCAATTCATCATGCACTCAAACTCATACCGGAACTCCCGGAAGCAAAGGCAGTCGTCCTATCAGACTCGCTAAGTGCACTTCAGGCCATCAGTGGAAGAAACTCAAACTCCAGGCCAAACACAGTCAACAATATTCTATACGAATATACAAAACTATCGGACCAAGGGCAACAGGTGGAGCTGTGTTGGATCCCCTCTCACATAGATATTCATGGAAATGAAAAAGCAGACTCACTGGCGAAGCTAGCTCTAGACAAAGCGGATATACAGCCTATTCCCTTTAGTAAACTAGAGATAAAAAGCAAAATCAAAGCCTCCATAGCAAAAAGATGGCAAACCCAATGGGACGCAAGTAAGATCGGCAGATGGCTATACAAAATTCAACCCAAGGTCCAACAAAAGCCAAACTCATACTCAAATGAAAGGAAAATTGAAACTGCTATCTCACGCCTCAGACTTGGTCACAAAAAGCACTATGACAAGGTTTGTTCATCTTGCAATCAGGCTGAAACCATTGACCACCTGTTACTAGAATGTCAAGACCATGCCCCGGCCCGGGCTAGGTTAAAACAAGAATTGCAGTTAGATCCGCTATCTGTCATAGATCTCCTAAAGCCAAGAGATGCAATAGCGAAGGCCAAACTAACTCTATTTCTGAGAGATGGACAGCTGCTCGAACGTATATAAACAGAGCAGCCAAGGATAAAAATGAAATCATATCAATATAAGAAAATAGAAATCATATCAATGCAAAAACAGAAATTATGTGAACACCGAACTCACAATAGATATGTGAACCCTTCTCACACACAGGAGTCCCAAAGAGGGACAGGTCAGCCGAAATTGCCTAGGCAGAAGGCGACCTCTTAAACACCTAATGCAACAACAACTAACATGTGAATAACAAACTACCTAAATGAACACCAAATTAAAAATCTTAAACAAAACTGCAAACAATCAAATATCTTCACCCCTAAACTTAAAATACCCAAAATAGACACAATACTAGCTAGTCAAATAAATTAACAAACCGACCCAAACATAGCTAAAACCACCACACTAGCATACATACACGAAAATTGGCCAAATTGGTGTCACATTTACACGGATGGATCTTCAGATCCGACCTCCAAACACACAGGTTTCGTAGTCCATACCACACAACCAACTAAAACCACACAATCCTTCCGACTCCCAAACAACCAATCAATATTCACGGCAGAACTAATGGGCATGGCCTCAGCCCTCCATAATTAAGAATCCAAAAACCACAAAAAAAATCCTAATACTTACCGACTCCCTAAGTGGACTGCAAGCCCTCCATAACAAAAATACCAAAAACCGACCTAAATTAATAAATCAAATACTTAAAAGCTCCAACGACCTAACTAACGCAGGCAAACAAATAACATTCTTGTGGATACCCGCCCACGTAGGAATATACGGTAATGAAAACGCCGATAAGGCAGCCAAACTATCCCTCAAAATCCCAGAAATAAGCTTACACTTACCCATCTCAAAATCAGAAATTAAAAGCATAAACAAGCAAAAAATCCCCCAAAAATGGCATAACCTATATCTAAACTCAAATAGCCAAATCAAAAAAGTGCTCAGCAAACCACTAACCAAACCAAAAATTCTCCATCCATCCAAAAAAATCGACAGAGTAATCACTAAACTCCAAACAGGACACACCAACCTAAATAACCACCTAAAAAAAATAAAAAAACACACTACAGGTAACTGCCCACACTGCAAACAACTAGAAACCACAGAACACGCACTCATCCACTGCACACACTACCTAACACATCGAACCGCATTACAAACCACCCTCAATCTAAACAAGGCTCTCACTCTAGAAGCAATACTAAACCCACAAAATAAACTAGAAAACTTCAAGGCCTTAGGCGTATTCTTAATCAAAACGGAACTAATAAAACGCATCTAAAAACACTATAATCTACCAAATCAAAATCACATAAACAAACAAACATCCACCATACCCAGCTCCCTTTGTTCTACTCCCAAACCCCATCGGCATCTATTCCAAATCTCAAAATTCCCAAATTCTATATAAGCAACCCCTAAAGCCCCCTCTTGGGTTGCACACACCACTATCGCCCCTTTCGGAAACACATTAAGTGGCCTGGTCGGGCCCGTGTGCGAAATACGCATCAGTCGGAAAGCGCACGTTAAATCTCCAAAGTAAGTAAGTAAGTAAGTAAGTAACTAACATGTGCGAAATACGCTACAGTCGGAAAGCGCACGTTAAATCTTCTATATCAGTCAGACTTACATGATCCGTGTGCGAAATACGCTACAGTCGGAATGCGCACGTTAAATCTTCTATATCAGTCAGACTTACATGATCCGTGTGCGAAATACGCATCAGTCGGAAAGCGCATGTTAAATCTCCAAAGTAAGTAAGTAAGTAAGTAACTAACTAACATGACATCAGCATGGCTGGTCTTCGCAATGTTGAGTTTGTTATGTCACAGAGAGGAAAGCCCTAAGTCCTATTTGATGGTTATCTTCACTCTAAGAACATCGAGAGACTGACTCCTTTTTCGTCTTTCTTGGGTTGTTCCATTGTATGAAATAGGTAACAGACTAGGGATTAGCAGTGCCATGGACCGTGAACTTTGTTGTCTTAAGCTGTAGGGGAAATGGGATGTAGGGGTTTTGGGAGGTTACCAGACAGTGTATACATATCACTTTTCAGTCAGTCTAGCCATCTGATTGACTGACTGTAAACCCTGGACTTTCGGTGTCTTCATTCGTTCCCTGCTCGATCATAAGAAGACGAAGGAAAGCAAACTGATTATTTTTGAAAAATTTCTTTTCTCATATCGATGTATTTCGGCAGAAAAAAACATTCTCATATTAAGCTGATTATCTGTTTCGCTGAACGAACTTGTGCCAGTTACAGATGATCCCGAAAAACTTCGTTGAAGCTTGAAACATTTTTCCCTCAACAGACATAACATAAATTATACATTACAAAACTGCAAAGTCAGAAACCAAATTATTCCATAAAATGTTCCTAAGGTCACGGAAGAGCAACAAGACTTTAGTTCTGTTTGACATTATCGTTTTTGATATTACCGTACTGCGACGGGCGCTGTGGTTCATCCTAACTTGCGCCACGGTTTCCCGTTCATGTACCGAATCGTTTATGACACATTAACACAGAATGAAAGGGAGCACTTCACCTTTACAATAACCTGTGTACATCACATAGCCCTGGGTAAATGGTTCGTTACAGCTGGCATAATCGCCGGCCATGCAGCGGGAAAGACGGCAAGATTGGCTGCGTCAGACATTTGAGTCTGATTTCAACAAGAACTTGGCGATGAAAGAGAAATAAACAAGCCATTTGTCCATTATAGCATTCGATTAA